TTTTATGCCTTACTATACTATGTCGTTTTTATGACTTTTTATGCCTTACTATACTATGATCTTTTTATGACTTTTTATTCCTTACTATAGTATGTCGTTTTTATGACTTTATATGCCTTGTTATAGTATGACTTTTTGTGCCTTACTATATTATAACGTTTTTATGACGTTTTTATGCCTTACTATACTATGTCGTTTTTATGACTTTTTTTTGCCTTATTATACTATGACTTTTTATGCCTTACTATACTATGACGTTTTTATGACTTTTTACGCCTTACTATACTGTGACATTTCTACGACTTTTTATGCCTCACTATACTATGACGTATTTATGCCATACTATAAAATGACGTTTTTATGACATTATTATGCCTTATTATACTATGACGATTTCATGCCTTACTATACTATAACGTTTTTATGCCTTATTATGCTATGACATTTTTATGACTTTTTATGCCTTACTATACTATGACTTTTTATGCCTTACTATAATATGACGTTTTTATTTCCTACTATACTATGACGTTTTCATGCCTTACTATACTGTAACGTTTTTATGACTTTTTATGATTTACTATACTATGTCATTTTTGTGACTTTTTCTACCTTAATATACTATGTCGTTTTTGTGACTTTTTACGCCTTACTATACTGTGACATTTCTATTACTTTTTATGCCTCACTATACTATGACATATTTATGCCATACTATAATATGACGTTTTTATGACTTTTTTATCCTTTATTATAATATGATGTTTTTTATACTATGACGTTTTTATGCCTTACTATATTATGACGTTTTTATGACTTTTTATACCTTAGTATACTATGACGTTTTTATGACTTTTTATGCCTTACTATACTATGATTTTTTATGCCTTGCTATACTATGACTTTATATGCCTTACTATACTATGACTTTTTAAGACTTTTTATGCCTTACTATACTATGTCGTTTTTCATAACGTTTTATGCCTTACTATACTATGACGTTTTTATGACTTTTTATGCCTTACTATACTATGTGGTTTTTATGACTTTTTATGACTTACTATACTATGTCATTTTTGTGACTTTTTATGCCTTACTATACTGTGACGTTTTTATGACTTTTTAAGCCTTACTATACTGTGACATTTCTATGACTTTTTATGCCTCACTATACTATGACGTATTTATTCCATACTATAATATGACGTTTTTATGACTTTTTATTCCTTATTATAGTATGAGGTTTTTCTAAGACATTTTTATGCCTTACTATACTATGACGTTTTTATGCCCTACTATACTATGACGTTTTCATGCCTTATTATACTACAACGTTTTTATGACTTTTTATGCCTTACAATACTATGACGTTTTTATGCCTTACATTACTATGACGTTTTTATGCCTTACATTACTATGACAATTTTATGACTTTTTATGACTTACTATACGATGACGTTTTTACGACTTTTTATGCCTTACCATACTATCACATATTTATGCCATGCAATACTATGATGTTTTTATGACTTTTTATGCCCTACTGTACTATGACTTTTTATGCCTTGATATACTGTGACATTTTTATGACTTTTTATGCCTTACCATACTATGACATATTTATGCCACAGTATACTATGTCGTTTTTGTCACTTTTTATGCCTTAATATACTATGGCGTTTTTATGACTTTTTATGCCTTACTATACTATAACATATTTATTCCATACTATACTATGATGTTTTTATGACTTTTTATGCCTTACTGTACTATGACTTTTTATGCCTTGATATACTATGACGTATTTATGCCATACTATACTATGACCTTTTTATGACTTTTTATGCCTTACTATACTATGTCGTTTTTATGCCTTACTATACTATGATGTTTTTATAACTTTTTATTCCTTACTATACTATGACGTTTTCATGCCTTACTATATCATGACGTTTTTACGACTTTTTATGCCTTACTATACTATGTTGTTTTTATGACTTTTCATGCCTTACTATACTATGACTTTTTATGCATTACTATACTGTCTCGTTTTTATGCCTTACTATGCTATGATGTTTTTTGATGTTTTTATGCCTTACTATACTATGACTGTTATTGGAGTTTTTTTGCCTTCCTATATTATTACTTTTTATTGAAATTTTATGACTTAATATACGTTTTTGTAATTGATAATTGTATGCCTTGTTGTACTATGAAGATTTTATGACCTATTATAAAATCTAATTTTCATGACATTTTATGCCTTACTATACTATGCCGTTTTTTGACATTTGTATGCCTTACCGAAGTATGAAGTTTTCCTGACATTTTATGCCTGACTATACTACGATGTTTTTTGACCTTTTTATGTCTTAATATATTACAGCGTTTTTTGACGTTTTTATTTCTTACTATACTATGACATTTTTATGACTTTTTATGCCTTACTATACTATAACGGTTTTATGATGTTTTTATGCCTCATTATTCTATGACGTTTTTATGCCTTACTATACTATGACGTTTTTTATGACTCTTTATGCCTTACTATACCATGACTTTTTATGCCTTACTGTACTATGACTTTTTATGCCTTGATATGATTTGACGTTTTTATAACTTTTATGCCTTTCTATACTATGACGTTTTTCTGACTTTTTATGCCTATGACTTTTTATGACTTATTATACTATGACTTTTTATGCCTTACTATACTACGACATTTTTATGACTTTTTATACCTTACTATACCACAACGTTTTTATGACTTTTAATGCCTAACTATATTATGACGGTTTTATGCCTTACTATACTATGATTTTTTATGCTTTACTATACTATGACGTTTTTATGACTTTTTATGCCCTACTATACTATGACGTTTTTATGACTTTTTATGCTTTAGTGTACTATGACTTTTTTTTGCATTACTATAATATGACTTTTCATGCCTTATTATGCCTCACTATACTATGACATTTTTATGACTACTTATGCCTTACTATACTATGACATTTATATGACATTTTATTCCTTACTATACTGCCTTTTTATGACTTACTATACTATGACTTTTTATGCCTTACTATACTATGAATTTTTATGCCTTATATTATGACTTTTTATGCCTTATTATAGTATGACTTTTCATGCCTTACTATACTATGACATTTTTATGACGTTTTTATGCTTTACTATACTATGACTTTTTTTCACGTTTTTTTGTCTTAATATATTACAACGTTTTTTGAGGTTTTTATGCCTTACTATAGTGTGATATTTTCATGAAATTTTATGCCCTTCTATACTATGACATTTTTTGATGTTTTTATGCCTTACTATATTGTGGTTCTTGATGTCTTCATGCCTTACTATATTATGACCTTTTTATGAAATTTCATACCTTAGTATACTTTATTGTATTTGATAAATCCATGCCTTGTTGTACTATGAAATTTTTATGACAGTTTATGACGTTTTTTGACATTTTTATGCCTTACTATACTATGAAGTTTTTTCACGTTTTGATGCCTTACTTCTATGATGTTTTTAAGACATTTTATCCCCTCTATACTATGAGGTTTTTTGATGTTTTAATGCCTGACTATATTATGATGGTTTTTGACGTGTTTTTGCCTTACTATAGTATGACATTTTTATGAAATTTCATGCCTGACTATACCATGACATTTTAATAACATTTTATCTCTTATTATACTGTGATGTTTATTTACGTTTTTATGCCTCACTATACTATGATGGTTTTTGACATTTTTATGCCTTATTGTACTATAACTGTTTTTGACGATTTTATGCCTTAATATACTATGACATTTTAATGACATTTTATGCCTTATTATACTATGATGTTTTTTGATGTTTTCATGCCTTTTTATACAATGACATTTTTATGCCTTACTACACTATGACATTTTTCAACTTTTAAATACCTTAATGTCCTATTATGCTTTTATTACATTTTACTATACTATGACATTACTATACTACTATACAATGTAGACATGAAACTGTAGACATGAATTTGCCAACTCCTGACGTTCATTTTCTTCCTTTATTTTCTCTTTTCCTTTTTTTTTTGACTCCTTTGTGTATTTTATTCATTTTGCATTTTGTGGGAGAATAATATGGCAAAACAGTTCATGCACTAAAACCAACCATCTATAACAACAAGATTATACACATTATACATGTTTATGCATCAGTCTTAGTAATCCAAAAATGTATCAAATATCAGTCATAATATTGGTACAAATACTTCTTCCACAACTGACAACAGTACAATAGCTACATTGTGTGGCTGAGCTTATTTAATGTAACTACTGTAAATTCTTTTCTCCAAAGTCTGAAATGGTTTTAGCTGACATGAATAATTATTAGTACAATCACAGAGTCCTTTTATAAATTTGCTTGCAGACTCGATCCTCACAGGTAAGTTCCTGAAAAGAGAAAACAAATGAAGCTGTGAAATTTACCATATTTTGTGGATGTAAAAATTCAAAGACTGTCTGAGCCCACAAAAGACTGGGAAACAGTATCACATATTAAACACTAACTGGGTTGTAAGGGGCCACCAAGGCAAAAACTGCAGTCATACCAAATGAAGCTCATCTCCCTGGATCCAGTGAATCCACCCTCTGTTCTTCTTTTCTCCTTTCTGAACACACACCAGCTTATCATTGTCCCAGCTGACCACAGTCTAACAGAGAATGAAATCAAAAATAGAGCACTACAGTTAAATATGTTTGTGATAACAACTGTGCAACACAAAACAGGGATATGAATTTGCTCCTGGAAAATACATATTATTTGTTGCTTTTATTTTCTTATGTTGTGTGGTCGTGATCACAGCAACATTCATGGTCTAACTTTGTGACCTCAGTTTAAGTTTTTACCTGGCATGAGCGGTTGTCCATTCCTTTTGTCACCTCTTTGAACTCTTCTCCAATTTTGAATGAAAACTCGTAATTTCTGAAAGTAGTGAACGTCTTGATTGTGAAACAGTCTCCATCTTGCTCAATTACTTTCTGAGGCTTCAACATCGAGGCAATCCTGCGTGTTGCAAAATCAATGCCTGCATGTCAAAATGATAGTAAGTGTATGTTACAAAAAGGTTTCACTTATTTAAATTCATGTAAACTTTATATTCACCATCCCCTGAGCAGGAAATAAATTAACATTTACTTTCCATAGACTTAGAACACCCTCCAGGTCTTAAAAAAAAACAAAAAACGTATACTGATGATGGATCATGGTGCTCACCTCTAAATGACTGTTTTACATAAATGATGCTGAGGAAAATTTCATATTCCCACAAGCTAAACTTTTCAGTTAACTATCCACAAAGATTTCCCTCGTCATACATAAACATTTAACTAAACACTATCAAATTAAGTTTCATTATGTATCCTTACAAAGAAGTGTTAAAAGAAGCACTGACACTTACCAAGTGCAACCATATACCCCTCAAAATTGACATTGCTGACCATGTCCCATGTCCCACTGTAGTCAACAGCCATCCTGGATGTTTATCTGACACTCTGGAAGACTCCACAGGCGTGAGTATCAGGAGTGAACTGATTTTAATATCTTGGGGTGGGATGTTTCATTGTGTGTCAATATGGGGCAGAGGTGATGTTGGCTGCTGCTCTGTTCACAAAGAAGGAGCATTGAACACTGGACTTTTTTTTTTTCTTTTAATAATATGAGGAAACTATTCTGTTCCTGTTAAGACGAAAGCCCCTGAACAGGATGTTATTCTTAAGCCACATGAAAATATTGCATCTTTAAAACCAGCACAGACTAAAAACACAACCTCACCTTCGAGCTGAAGCTGTGTAGAGTTTTAACCTTAAGGGAAAACAATATGGAGCCAATGTCTCTGTGCTTGTGTAGCCTGAAACACAATCCTTCCTCCAGCTCACATTTGGAGCTGCTGCCACCTCTTGAGCGCAACACGTCCAAGCAAAAAGAATATTGTTACAGCACACGTCTGCCTGGATGACCAACGTCCATGTTTCTCTACATGCTAATCTTCATGGCGTATCATAGCAGCAGATGGATACCAAGGAATAAGAGGTTAAAATTGTAAGCAAGGTTTCAATTATTCACATTTCGGTTTTACGTAATGCAAAAATATCTTTATATTAACTCAAACATTCTAATTTTACTGTGTTTTACTTTAGCTTTAATACTGATGCTTTATTAATGTTCTCTTTGCAGTCAAATAGTGAATGCAGTGTTCATGGCTATTGTTCTGGTTCCTCAGTTCTACGTCATGGCAAGGTAACTAGGACACAGGCAATGGCATGGAGCCATAGAGATCATGGGTCATTTGTACAAGAGGGAACGTGGCATTAATACTGGCTTCTGTTTTGTTCAAAGGCCAAAATCCTCAAGATACTGCAGGCAGCCTCTCCTGAACAACCTGTCAGCTTGCATCGCCTTGTCCTTCATAGCGTCAGGTAAATCCAATCAGATCAGAGAGCTTTGACAACACATACATAATATTTGAGAAAAAAAGCAAATCTTATGGCTATAACTCGTTTAACTCCTTTAATAGGTTTTTCAGTGATATTCACATTGTTAGACCCAGTTCCACAGAGCTTGTGGGCTTGCTATCATGTGTTTGGGCTGCTGTCATGTGGACAAGGACTATGTACAACCATCCTGACTCTAACAGCAGCAGCATGCGTAAGAAAATGACTGTAATGTTGGTGCTCATCAGGTCCAAGACAAAAAGTTCATCAAAGATGATTTATATATGTGTGTTTTCACAGGCTGAAACGACCCCAGAGCTGTACTACATGTCTCTTATTATGACGGTTGCCTCTATTTTCAGCACAGGTGAAATACATTTCCTCTAAATGTACACATACAGTATGGGACCACTCATACACAGACTTAGTTCAAAGGAACTAACACCTGCTTGTGTCTGTTCAGGTTTTTTCATGGTGAGAGGAGGAATCTGGCTGACTGAGAGGCGGCCTGTGATGGACCAGAGCAGAAACAATGAGCGATAAAACAGCCCAGCTGTCCCATGTTGATATCTGACACTCCACATATTAAGATTTCATGTAGTTTCCATGCCACCAGCAGCTGGTAACTTTAAACCATGGGAAGAAAAAAAAAAAAAAGGAAAGCGACTTAATCCTCCTCATGTGTAATGCTCACTTCATAGAAGTATGACAAAGCAGATGTTTGTCTTGATTATCAGAACAGTTTGCTTTTATTTGTTGATGGGTTTCATGTAACAACTGGTCATAGGAAGCTAATAAATATGTAATTTACACAGCACATTTAGTGTATAATTATATACATAAAAATACATATGTGAAATCTGTATACAGTACTGATAGTGATATTTGTCTCATTGGGAAGGTAAAAGTACATTAAACAGATTCAAGCAGGAAAACTAAAAGGAAATACTTCACATTGATTCAGCTTGGATGACCAGGTTGAATTATTAAAAGGAAAATGCAGATGCTGTACCAAAACATAAGTGATCCCCATCATGTAAATGGTCATACAAAAACAGCTTTGGTGACAACAAACTAATGTATACAAATAAACTGGAAAATCCAGCCAGTGCACCTTGTAAATTTGTTTTACCTGCCATTTTCTATTTTCACAAGTAGACATGTACTGCAACTGATCCCTATATCCTACTGCCAGAATTAATATTACTCCCCAGATAATATTTTTTCACCACAAATCAATTTCTGACTTTCACGTCTAATAAGTCAAACTTTAAAGCAGCTGGGATGTGACGAAGTTGTGGAAAGAAAAGGAAAGAAAATTAAAAACACACAGGTCATGCGGTGCCAGTGTGATGCATGGAGCTACACTCATAGTACATAGGAAAAATGTTTTGTAAATATACTTTACATCACAGGCACCTTTTCAGTTTCTATGGATCAAACACAGGCACAATGACAACATGACTGCTGTAATTCAGCTGCAGTCCACTTTCATTTAAAGAAGCCCCTCAGACACAGGTATATAGATCAACCATAAAAAGAAAACCAAAGAATCCTGCACACTGTCCATCACTTGAACTCACTTTATTAACACAGCTGATTGTTTAGTTTTGTTTTCAAGTCAAAAGGTTTTGGTTGTACACCACTGTAAGACTTTATGGTGTGCAAGAACTTTTATGAAACATGAATCAACCTGATATTGAAATAAAGCTACTCTTGTTTGGACTCTAGAAAAAGCACCTGAAGATCACACGTACAGATTTCTCTACGTGGAATGTGAATGTGTGTGGGTTGGGAATGTGCTATTTATCGGTGAAGCACCAAATATTTTGAATCACCCTAAATATTTTAATTACAAATGTTTGTTGCTGTATTATCATTATGCAAACAAAATATATTATTTATGAAACCAGTCTCATTTCCAATTTTGTTTTGTGCAGGGGTTCACTGTCACTAGACAATATTAAACATACAATCAATAAGTGTAGATTACACCAAAGTTCACCTGAGATCTGATATAGTTCAAACATACAACAATCCTGGGTTATAATAAGTGCACAAATCCTTGCGTTTGCTGGAAGTGGCTTTAGGCACCACATGTTTACAACATCAGATGCTCAGTGCAACATGGTCTGCAGTCTGTAAACTGCAGACATGTGTATACTTCGTATATTGGTCTAGATTTTCACTCATCTCATATTAATTAGGCTTAGTTAAACCATCAAACTCATTTCACACTCTCACACACACACACACACAGAAAAATATTCAAATGAGGTTTTTACTTTCAGTAAAAAGGATCATACCCGTTGTTTTTATCCCATTAACTATTAATTACAAATACTTCTAAACATTCCTGCCAGCAAATTTTCAAAGCTTTTAACTTTTAGCTATTAAGTTATCACCATTTCATAATCCACTTGCAACGCTTTACTGCTGGTGAAATCATGTGCTGGAAAAAAGCATCCCTTTTAATGTGAGAAACCACAAACTGCATAATGTTCTTTGCACAGTGTCCATGTTTCCCCATAAGCAAATGAATCCTCCAAGAAGGGGCTGTTTTTTAAAAACGGTTTTCTGTTTTCAGCTGCCATATGACACTGATAGCTATAATGGATTTATTATTCTGATTAAAGTTCATGTATCTAGACTCTAACAAACAGCTGGTTGGAAAGTAGGAGATCAATCAGAAATCTGCTGGCATAATTTTAAAAAGATGCAGCACTAATTATCAGTAAATGTGATTGTAGTTAATAAGCAGAAACATGTAAAACTACTGGTCCTCATACATTCTTTACCCCAAATCAGCTGTTGAATTAAAGCAGCTCCAAAGACATTTGTCTGATTTAAAGCTAGGATTACAACCCCTATCCGAAAAGTGCATCATAGTCCATGTACCACACAAGTTGGCCATTAGCAGGCTTCACCCCGGTGACAGGCCATTTCAATGGGTTGTCCTTCACTCGGCTCATCTGGGTGATCATCTCATGCTTGCCTTTACCCATCACTAAAAGAGCTACTTTCTGGGCTCGGTTAATTGCACTGAACGTGAGGCTCATACGCTGGTGAGGTTTGTCAGGGCTTTCAGTGAAAGCCACCAGTCTCTCCCCAAGTTCATCCACTTCAGTACCTGGGAACAGAGAAGCTGTGTGGCTGTCATAGCCAACTCCTAACAGTACGAAGTGGAAGCTGGAGCCATTAACCAAACTGCTGATCTCTTTCTCATACAACTGTGCTCCCCCGTCCTCCTCCACACATAAACGATGGTTGAGCTGCACTGGCATGGGGTGGATGTTGAAATAGGGTATCCTAACATGTTGTAGCAGTTGGTTATAGAGTGTGTAGAAGTTAGACTCCGGTTCAGTAAGCGGCACGCAGCGTTCATCCACCATCCACACATGGGTGTCTCTCCAGGGGAAGGAGAAGTGGTGCAGGGCTAAATTGTGGAACAGAGCGAGGGGTGTGGAGCCACCTGAGAGGGCGAGATGGAAAACGCCGCTCTCACGCACGGCTGCCTCCGCCGCTTCCTGCACATCAGCAGCTAGCTGCTCCACTAGCTGCTCAGCCCAGGCGGACACCATGTTATTATTACGAAATTTGCCTTGCATTACTTGGAAACCACTTGCTGACGTGCCACCCATCTGATCGGGGCTGATTATCACCACCTCGCTGTTGTAGCTAATGTCCTTCCCTTTCAGACGGACGTCCAGCATGTCCCCGTTGTCTACACCACCAGGGTAGATGCGGGGAAAAGAGCTGGATAGGCTATTGAGCAGCGGTGTCCATAAGCCCCAAGAAGCCAGCAGGTTTTCAGTACTAATGAAACTATTTTTATATCCAGCAAAGATGTGAGAGATCAGTTCTGCATACGCTTCCCTGTCCTCCGTTGGAGTTTGCACATAGTAGTCTGAAATTGGCAAACCTAAAACACTGATATCAGCATGCTCTGTCACTTCCTTCCACTCACCATCCGTTAAAACTGGCTTGAACAAATTCTTACTAACGAGAATTGCTGGATATTTAAGGCTGCCATGCCCAAAGTAGAAAACAATCTGTTTGGGCTTGCAGTGAATGCTGTTGTGGTTTTGAAGACAAAAGATGTTG